TTTAACGGTGATTCTCAAAAGTATTGACTATTACTTGAAGAGCTCTCATAATTAGAGCTACTCTCTTGTAGTGCTAATTGATTTATTATGAAATTAAACTTCCATATGTAAAGTACATGATCAGCTCATGTGTAATGTGTGTGTGTGTACTTTGTCTTTAGTTTTTGATACAGCTGCGCCAAAGTTTTTATATTAAATATTTTAAAAATAGTTCCACATGGGTTTTCGCAGGCACATTGCGATGACTAAGATGTGAGTCGCTGGCTATTGAGGAAAGTGCGCGGCGACGTCGGAAATGAATTCTCGAATGGATTTTAACAGGACAAATTTCTACATCCAGATACACTCGTCGGTTTATCTATAGTGTTTTTTGTAACTTCTTTCTGACTCTCTTTGCTTTGTCGCTTTTGGTTTATACACGAGAGTTTTATCCCGCGTACCTGAGATAGCTTTCGCTTTCTTCTTTTGTTCGCGCGGATAATATTGCGTGAGTTTAACTTTGTAGATTATCGGTTACATCACCGATATCAACATGTGAGATACGGGAATGGAAAATTGTGGAAAGCGTGATGTCTTCTTTTTTAGGATCGCTCGGAATTTAGTCGGAGTCGATATTACTGCAGGAAATGAGCGTGGACGATGGAAAATGAAAAATTGAGTGAACACACAATATTTCAAAACTGTGTGAAAAAGATCATTTCATGAATTTAGATTTCTTAGTTACGCCATCACTTTCTGTTACTTTAAAGCTTATCTCTACGTACGATTGAGATATTTCTGTAAATTTTACTGTTTTACTTCTATGAATAAATTTAAATTTAAATAAATTTAAGAATCGAAAGATGAGTGAAGGACGCTTGTGCATCAGTTGAAAAGCAAGTATCTTTTTAGCACTTTGCGGCCCATCTTACTTCGCAGGCTACTGCTCTCGAAGTGAAAAAATTGGCATCGACCAGGAATAGTATCCGAGATCTTGCCTTCGGTCAATCTAAGCGTCGCAGAGTCTAACGCCTTAGTCGCGTGGCTATCGTCGCTGTTGTTTTTAATATTCTTTTGTTTCTTCTCATAGCACTGCATACTATCGTGTATCGAAGCAATCGATTATTTGTGTTCTTTAGAGGTTTTCTTTGCTTTTTAGTCTTTGTAGTTTTTTTATTTTGTTTCTCTTTTTTGTATTTTTTATTTCTTTTTGTACACTCTTTTCACCTATCTTTAGTTTTTTTTTGATTAATTGTTTTTTATTATGCAACGCCTTTCGAAACGCGAACGCATCTCACTTTTCATGATGAGAGGCTGGAATGATGCACGAAGGTCCTATAAAGTCATAAGAGACCTGTTTAATGCAAATTTTCGGAATGAAGATAATGCAATTTCGACAAACCGTTAAAAAAACAATACAACGGTTTGAGGAAACAGGTACCGTCAAAGATCGTCCAAAATCTGGAAGACCAGCGTCAGCGACAAATCTTGAAAAGTCGTTACATGTTTTGCAATCTTTCGTGGAAGATTCTTACACTTCGATTTGCAAAGTAGTTCAAGAAATCAGATAAATCTTATGTCTGTTCACATAAAATATTGAACAAAACAAATTTCATCTCTTTAGAGTTCGTCTGATACATGAGTTAAATGATGATGACTTTGATCGACGCGTTGAATTCTGTGAAATCATGATGGCAAGAATAGATACAGACCCTGATTTCTCGTTTAGAATTGTTTTTTTCGATGAGGCAAAGTTTCAACTAAACGGTACTCTAAATAAATAATAGTCGATATTGGTCTGATACGAACCCTCATTAGATGCGAGAAGATAACACCCAATATCTACAGAAGTTAAATGTTTGGGCAGGTATACTAAATGATAGTTTAATTGGACCATTTTTTATCGAAAGTGATTTAAATGCTCAAAAATATGAGAATATGCTGAGGAATAAAGTGGTCCCTGCAATAACCGCGATTGTAGGTGAAAAAATTAAGAACACGTGGTTCCAACTAGACGAGGTGCACCATCTCATTATGAACGAGACGTTCGCGATTACTTAGAAACAGTTTTTCTCGATCGATAGATAGGAAGGAAAGAAACAATTGAGTGGCCAGCCCGATCGTCGGATTTGACATCTCTCGATTACTTTCTGAAAGGTCGAGTCTACAATACGAAGCCTCAGAATTTAAATGATCTAAGACATTGAATCCTTGATGAAACAGCACTTATCCCAGCACTTATCAATGAAATGATTAGAAATGCCGTTTCAGGATTTTACTATCGAATAGAATACTGTCAAGAAGTGAATTGTGAGCAATTGAAGCATCTTCTCAGTTAATTTTTACTATTGCTGGTTGAATTGGCTGACTGATCTTGCTTTCATCGGCTGGATTATCTTCCGATCTTGTCTTAGTTAGTTGGATCATCTTTTGATCTTGCCTTTGTGGGTTAGACATCTTATCATAAAAAGTTCGATAACATCAAAACGGTTTATTTAAAGTGGATTAAATTATAGTGCTTTGAAAAAGTCTGAAGAAGGGCTACAAAAATATGCAATAAAAATTAAGGTGTTCTATTCAAAAAATTTAAGGTGACTTTGTCCTAATCTTGGTGATGTCATTCAAGGTCAAACTGATAAGACTAGTAAATAGATCTTTTAAAATCCTACAACTTTTATCTGAAACACTTTTTTTTTAATGTCTGTTTTCGAGATTTTTTGAAGTACCAGTACTTTTATACACTTTGTATATATTATATTTAATTAAATGTAATTGGATTGTATGCTTAATATGTCAGTAATTGGGTCTTTTACCCTATATCAGTCTCTTCCCCTATCAGTCTATTATTGTTTTATAATTAAATATAAAAATAGAAAGCCGTATACAATTTGAATTTTTTTAGAAGAATATTTCGAATTTTGCTAGACATAATTGTTATTTACTGATTAGTTTATATTGATTAGCTCTTTCCTCTAATTTATACCTAGAGAATAATGACTATTTAGAGTCTTTATTGGGCAAAAATTAGCTGTTATTTACTGATCTATTTAATGAAGCTACTTTCTGACTAATTTGTAGCCAAATTTAAACAGAGTTTTTTATCCAGTTATTATTACTTTGTGTGTGTGCGTGTGATATGACATAATATACAATAATTACAACCTAATAAATACTAATCAGTCTATGTTTTTTTAAACATTTTTCTACTAAGTATATGTATATATCGCACGTAAACTACAAATATTCATTACCTAAATCACATTTAATCTAAATAGAATAGTAAAGTAATTAAAAACAATAGCAAGTGTTTTTTAAATTATACATTAATTGTTTTCAAATAAAATAAGCAAAATATACGTAAAATATTGATATACATTATCATGTCTTTATTGAATTTATATGACTATTTATTTGACGATTACAATTCACGAGTTATTGACGCGATGGAAAAGCGAAAGACGAAATAGGTTTTTTTACCTTTGCGATTTCATATTCTGGTTTATTTTCGATATCGAGCGCTTTCGGCAATCGATCTGACGCACGCTTTAATGCATATTCGTTATGACGAGGTGCACCCTGGATACATATTCCACCAAATGGCTCGATTCCAAACGGATACGACGTTATACGACGTTCTCCACAACGTCAACGCGCGCTCTCTCGATTCAGATTACAAAAGCGTTTTCCCTTGCACGAAAGCTGACGTCTACATAACGACGCGAGTGTGGTAGTCGACAAGTGAGGAACAGACAAAAGTATAAAACGGGAGTAAAATGGGTTTAGAGAAAAGAGAGAAGAGTTGCGGCGATGGTGGTGGTAGTGCGGAGCACACAGCGCATAAAGAACGCGAAATCCCGTCTCGACAAAAACGATGTGGAGAGGAACACTCGTGGAAGCTTCTCTCTCTCCGGGGAGATACGTCTTCTCGAATCAGTTCGCGGAAAGAGAATCACGACGTAAAATGGTGCTCGTAATAATCCGCGACGCAATAATGCCACTAGACAAATTGTCTCGGTTGAGATTTTTATTCTGATATATGTCTCGTTAAAGTAAATTCCGTTTTATATGGAATTTTCTATTGCGAGATATCTTGTTCAGCGCGACGACGTGGGAGAGTTTTCACGAAATTATATTACACTTAATTTTCTTGAACAATTATTGTGTAAAATAAAATATGACACAACGTGATATGGCCGTTGACGTAAAATAAATATGAAAGTTAGAAATTAATATTCTCGAGAAGAAAATTATATAAAAGCACAAAGCTTCGACTAAAAAGCGTTTGGAGAATTGAATTCCAACTGGAAGACCAAAGAAAGACAGAGATACAAAGGCGGATACAAGATGAATCGTCGTTGCGGTCGAAACGGGCGTATTGTGACGAACGGAAACGCATATGGCTCTTCCCCACGAAGACGGAAGTTTCGCGGCTTGCGAGGGGTAAAAGCAGCTCATACGGAAAATCGCAAAGTCGAGCGTCGGCCCGGGCCTTACGTTCGCAGATTGCGACCGCGATACGGGCTATTAAGCGTATGCAAAGCGGAGTTAATTTCATTGAACTTTCCGGGCAGCAAAGTTTCGCGCGCGCCCCGCTACCATGAAATGTGGCGGTGGCGGCAGCAGCGGCGGCGGCGGCGGCGTCGTCGGTAGTGGTGGTTTAAACGAGCTGGCGGTGGTGGAATACGTAATGAGAGAACTGAAAACTATAGATATCCCCGTCGTTGAAATGTCTCTCACCGGGCAACGCGTTGCGCTTAAACACTGATTTGCATCGTGCATTTTGTCGAGAGATTTCGCATAACGTTGGAAACTCGGTGAGCATAATCTTTTTGCGTCCTCCCGATTGCGCGGAATATAAATGCAACTTGGATGTAAATTAATTTCGTGCGTGAACGAGAAGCAAGATGACGCGTTAAACCTTACATGTAAACACAGTAGAGTTCTCTTGATATATCGTTTAATCGTGAAGATTTTTGTATTTTTCTGAAATAAATATATGTAAATGACACTTTTTGTTTTAGATCCGGCGCGATTCTTGCGAGATGTTTCACGTGCATTGACATGTGTCCGAAAAAATCGGGAAGTATCCAGAAATATGCATTCGTGCCAAGAATTGTTTCGCGCTGGCGAAAAACAACATCGGATAGTAACGCGCGGTTTTGCTGCATGATGCAGTTTTCGCGACTTATTCTTCGCGACTTGTCTAAACGACTTACGACTTTAACTCCGGTTTCCACAACGGTTTGCGTAATACATCGACCGCTTACCGGTATTATTCTATCCACTTATGCAAATAGGATGCGGCTCGCGCGCGCGTTCCAGGCTACGGGAGAAAAAGAGACGAGCGCACGGAAAAGCGATGGTTTCTTAACGCGGGATACTTGTATAAACTTCGATCTTCCGTCACATCGTAAATCGAGCGACTCGTGGATAGTTTAACGCATCGCACGTGCAAGTCGCCGCCAACGTTATATCGAGTTTACGTTTTATGCGAGAGTTCTGGCCTCACACAAGCTCTTTGTACGCTTGCTGCTTTATCGTCGTCTTAACATTTATTTAATGTTACGAGCGGGAAACAATCTACCGCGAATGCATACGTTGAACAAATCGCCAAGAATCGAGATATATTTGTTTTTTATTCGGTCATGACAATTTTAAAATTGTAACTTTAACATAACAAAAATATTGAAGTATATTTTTATGATGAGAAGATACCACTAACTTTGGTATATTTTTAACAGTATTTGAAAGTTTTTTTTAGCAACTGAAGAGGTTTAAAGTGTGTAATTCCAAAGCGAAGGATTTGGTTTGCTTTGCCATAAAATTTGCTTTTTTTTTTCTCTTCTTTCGTATAATAAATATTTTATCCTCTCTCTTCTCTTTCTCTCTCTCTTTTCTCTCGCTTCGACTATAGCAATTTCCATAAAATACTCGAACTGCTATGCAAATGGCGGTCAATGCGTTTCGATTATACATACTCTTTGTACCGTCGCATGCCCGAAGGGGCGAAAAAAATAGGTTGCGTTTAGCTTGCGGTACATACAACCAACAATACGTGCGGTCGTTGTATTTTATGGTAGCGCGGCGGCTGCGGTCGATTGTATAGAGCTCGGACGAGTGAAAGTTATGTTTTTGATTATCGCTAGGACGATTTACAGTGTTGCCCGGCTATTTACGGCTTGATGAATTGTCATGGACGATTGTTGGAAAATGTCACTCACTTCCGTTTTTAACCGTATGTTGCATTGCACTTTGAACAATCATGATTTTTGCAATTGCCTGTGACAGTTATTAATTTCTTGTCGATTGTTAATTTTCTATCAAACGCGCGGTATTTACGTGTATAAAAACATTATTTCGAAGATTAAAGTATTTATGAGCTTTTGTATATATTTTACTATATAAATTGTATTTAACGCCAATAGATTCTTTTTTTACATCGGAATAAAAACGAGACTAAAAAAAAAGAAGATCGTGTGCAATAACGTGTCGTAATTCTCATCGTGATTCAAACGAGCGTCCCAATTTTAGCATTAAGCGGATGCTGCGGAAAAATTCGTTTCTCAGAGCCTCGACTGCACTCAGCCTGCGATTTTCTTTCGATCAAGCGCATTATGCAAGAATATTGCGCTTCGATCGCTATCCTGTCCGTATATTTACGTGGTATCGTGTCAAGGCGTGGCAAGACCGCTTAACACGAGACTGCGCGTGCTGCGAAAATTCTGCTCCAGAAAATTCTGCGAAAATTGCCGGCATCGAGTAACTTTAATAGTCCATATAACGCGGGTGCGGTCTATCAGTCGGCTATTTTTTAGTAAAATAATTTTTCGGAGTTTTGCTGAGATTTGTTTGTGTGTGCGCACGCGTGAGAAATGGATTGATAATCAAAGGCGCGTGAGGCGGTCATTTACATTTTCAAACACGTATAAGGATGATTACATAATGTAATATATGTTGGATATATTTATAAAGAATTTTGTATTGTATTAATTTATAAAGAAACTCTAATAAGGATCACGAAAGTGTAAAAAATATGAATTATTCGTATTACGTCATAAGAGTTAAGCAATTATTAATTTGTTTGTTTGTCGACTAGATGATACACCCGTGAAAGATAAAAAAATAAAATAAAATGCGATTTGATTGTTGTCTGGTAATCTAGCAGTTATGCGCTGAACGATATGGCGATCGTTGTGGAATGCGGGTTGATCAAACCGGTTAATTGAACAAGGTTGAATAGAATAAGGCAGTATGATTTTGTGCTCGCGCTAGCGGGATGCTACATCGTTCGAGAACGTTATGCCGAACGCGTATAACAAGCCGCGTACAGACCAAGCTATGCATTATCGATGACAGCCCTGAAACGTGTAATTGCTGCGCGGCTGATAAAAATAAAGAAACGATCCCAGCCAGTCACTGCGCCGCACCGCCCTGTACACTTCCGCGGTGCGTCCCTACGCGTTTGTTCGATATCGAATCTGATCCTCGAGATGTATCGACGTCCGTACCAATAAAATATCGCTCATTTATGTTCCCTCGGTTACATCATCGCGGCATATCTTCCGACCTTTACCAAGCGTTCGTTCCACCACACCGCGATGCAAAGGCACAAGATGCGCCCCCGATAACTTTCTCTTTAATACATCTTAACACTTTTTACAAATGCGTGTAAAAAAGTGTTCGTCTTTATAAAAATTATACGAAATTCTTATAACTGTTGTTTCACTAGAAAGAGTTGCCGCGTAAACTGCGTCTTCGGTAATGAATTAAAAAAAAAAAACTTTAAGTCAATTATCCTTTGGTATTGTTTCTTTCTCATAACAATATATGATATATCAAATCATCTGTTTGCTCTGTGACGTTTTCATGTCTGATATATTAAGTACGGTAGTTTTCAAATTAACAAACTGTGTCTTCTTGCCAAACTGAATAGTTTAATTATCACGAGAGAAAGAGAGAGAGAGAAAGAGATAGATATAGAAATGTTAAAGTATGAACATGTAATATTCCGTTTCTTACGTAATCTCGACGTTACTATTAATAATGTTTAATAATTCCTGTTTCAGGTGAGTTATGATCTTTGCCCTAATCACGACGATAGCGTATGATTGACTCCTCTCATACTAGGTGAGTAGTACGCGCCACGTATACACACAGCATCGATATTTAATAACCGCCGAGTTACCTCGGAGCTATTAATCGCGGCTTCGGCGCGTCGAAAACGGATCGTTTTCTCCGCAAGTAGCGTGGATAAATGGAGGTAATACCGCTAATTGCACGTATGAATCTTTCTAGTCTGTGTATTCAGTCTGAAACGCGATTCTCTCGCGGGTTCGAGTTTGCCGAATGAGTCGGCACATTCTATATATAAATACGCAAATATATATGTGTGTATATATATACATATACATTTACACGTACACACACGTAAACGGTATAGACATGTATCTATGAGGCTTATGTACAACAACCGATACCGTTAGTCTACGATGCGCAGTGACGCGGATTTGCATATGCCACGAGATTACGTACGCTTCCCTCCCAATTAGCGTTGAACGTTAAATTTAGCGACGGCACGTAACCGAATCAATAATATGTAAACATCGTCGTATTATCGAAGAGAGTCCCATCGGACCGAAACGTGTGAATAAATATCGGTTTATTGCTGATGGTTCAATAAGCAATCTCATCAGTTGCAACGCCGCTCTAAAATGATTAGAATTATTTTAAGAATTATGTACTTTGTATTTATTGTTTTATATTCGGTATATATATACAGGGCGTTTACAAAAGACCGCCTACTAAGTACATAGCGTTATTCCTCATTACAAACTGAGTCAAAAACTCTTTTGAATCATTTTATATAATATATAATATACATATATAATATATCTGTTTAGTTACACTATATTATTTATCGAAAAAAAATATAACGATTCATTGAAAATATACTGATTGAATAAATAAATTGCTTTGTGTGTGTTGTAATTGTTTGCTGCAGTGGAGAACGATATTTATTTATTTATTTATTTATTTATTTATTTATTTATTTATTTTTGTGAAAAATATATATGCGTTTTCTGCAGCTTTTTGCAAATCGTTAATAAATTTGCTTTGTTAAATTATCTCGTAAAAGATGTGGAAAGTTTTTCTACAGAAGGAATATTGTGTATTATCATCTACTGAGGTGGGAGTTTAGATAAACAGGCCGGTAAAAGGAAATTTAATTCTGAATGATAAAGCTGAACACTCTTGTCGCTTGACCAAGTCATCGTGCACCTGCGAAACGTGCGCTAACGATCAATAATGATCTTTCGTGACCTTTCTCCACCCATCGTCAGCGCGCCGGTTTGATTAATTGATTCTAGATCTCTCGCGGTCGTCGACGTTCGGGCAAATCGTATTTGGATAAATCAACGCTGATTGCTATGCGCGAGTAGGCGAAATATCTTTCCGCCAGTCTGCGTGCAATTTAGATTTAAAACGAGAAACATTTATTTTGAAAAGCTACAAAAAGATTTGTCAAAAAATGTAAATCGCTAAGTCGAGAGAGAGAGAGAGAGAGAGAGAGAGGGAAGGAGGGGGATGGGGGAGGGGGAAAGAGGAGAGAGAGAGAGAGAGAGAAGATGAAAATTTATTGAGTCGTTACGAATAAATATATATATATATATATATTATATACATATATTTGTACATATATTTGTCAAGTTTTTCATGACTTAATATAATGACTTGATATAATGACAAAAACCATTATATAAATAATATTATAAATATACGTGTGCGTGTGTATATGTATTATATATGTAGATATATAATATATTCGCTGACAATTATTATTCTCTATAAATAGCTTGAAACTGAATAGGATAACTGTAATAAGATTATGTGGTAAAACTGAAATATATTTTACGCATAAAACAAATAAATATGCGGTAATTATTTTTCTTTTTTTACACGTACAATCTCCAGAACAATATTTCTGCAAATAGGACCAACACACAGTGCAGTGTAAAAACGTATTTCTAAAAAGATAGAGAATTGATAATATTAAATCGCTTTCTAAGACGCGGTGTCTAGATACCTATAGTATAATATCCGTTTGAGTTGCTTCTTGCCGTAATATTAAACGCTTCGAAGCAGAGACTGTATGCGCCATTCTTGCGCTGC